ATATATAGCTTGTTCTTCTTGAAGGGCCTCCGGGTTCAAATGGCTCGATCTTCAATGGAGGTTTGGATCAATAGACATGATTTGATTGGAGGAGGGGCTTTTAGATCACATTTTTATTGTGATCTCTGAATAAGCTTTCTATGATTTTTCCTAGGATGTCTGATTACATAGAAATGAAAGGCCCTATTTATAGCGGTAGAATAGAAGAGTTTTGATAAATTCAAACTCTTTTGATATTATCTAATTAACAAATTAGATATACATAAATTCAAATATACTAATATTGATAAATAATCAATATTTATCAAAATTTAAGTGTCTCCACTGATTTCACCATTTCTGATTCTGCTTTTCTTCTGCTGCAATTGCATATTGCCATTGCCATTGCCATATCTCTGTATCAGCACTCGCATATCTCCAACGCCAAGTTTCCGCGGTAATAATTGGGCCTCTCGATTTCTTTCTCTGCAAATGTTCTTATAGCTTTAGTTTTGTTTCTTTTCAAGTTAAAATATTGATACCTGAAGCCTGGGTTCATGCCTTTTTTATCCATTGAAAACAAAAACTAGGAAATTGGGCTCTGTTTTATGTAGAATTGATGCATTAACGTTGTTCCAGATTCATGGTTGTGATAAAAATTGTGTCTTTGATAGGCCGGTTTTGGGGTTTTGTTTGGAATGGGTAGAGAAAGATTGCAATGAGCATGGAGGTTGTATGTATGTTAAATCATATATAATTGAGGGAAAGGGAAAGGGAAGTAAGTGCATGGAATCACGGAGGAATTGGTTGAAGAAGCTTCACCCCCGCGATAATTCAAGAACATCAAATCAGGAGAGTGATTCAATGGGTGGTGGAAATGAAGATTCTAAGCAGTTGTCCAATGAAGAAGCCTCCAACGTTACCAAGCAGAAGGTAGCTGCAGCAAAGCAGTACATAGAGAATCATTACAAGGAGAAGATGAGAACAAATTAGTTAGTGCGGTACATGTGATGATACCCAGCCAAGAAATATGCTCTTTTATTGAGTTACACCTTCATTATTAGTTATAACTTTTAGCGTAATGATAATTGATAAGCATTCTAGTAGTTGGTATCAAATCATGAAAGAATCACTTTTATCATAAGCATGCATAACTCAACTCCAAAACACATGATTATTGTAATAATTAAGGAATTAAATATTGAATGGTCACTGTAGGGAATATGAATATATCATGGGCTGGGGTTTAATGGGGCACCTACATCTGGATTCTTCTGCGTGGTTGGTATAATGGTGATGATTTTGATGGTCTTGTGACCAATAATTTATTATTCCCCTTTTTTAATTAACATATTCAAACTGTCCACACTCTACAGTTTATTTTATAAAATATTTTTGTTACATAATTATTGTTTTTTTTAATCATTTGGGGTCCATGAATTGACTGGCTAAAATTCATCACCATTGCTAACAATGCCCCTCCCATTACAAATGTTTCTTAAGTTGGATAGTGACCATGAATTCAGTGAAGAATAAAAGACAACTGATAGATATATTGAAAATGTCCCAATAATAGGGACCCGAGAGTCTAGGACGGAGCCCATTGTTCGGGGTCCAAGAAGATGACTTGAGTGGCCCAAAGAGATTTCGGAGCCTGTCTCTAGGCCCAGAGTAATGGGCCTTGACTTAGTCTCGTGATCCACCATGAGTTTAGCATGAGGTGGTTGTAACTAGTTAGTTCCTCCTTTTTAGGGGACGGTTTGGAGGCTTAGTAGGATAAGTAGCTATTTATTTGTCTTGATTAGGACACCTTCATCTATTTGGTCTAGGCATACAAGTCTTATGCTATATAACATTGCATTCAATCCCTTGTAATCAACTTACAATCTCACTATCAATACAAAATAAATTGTCCCGCAACATATATTTATTTCACCATTATTTTACCTTGACCATTCATTTACTATTTCCTTTATTTATCAGGTTTAATAATTCGGACCATTTGAATTAATTAAATCTATCTTTGGTGCTTTCATGGAAAGCTCGACATACAAGCTCAAGCGTGTTCCTTAACAACATCTCCAACGAAATCAACCATCACACAAAAACCTTGGATGGTATTGGTTTTGGTGGGGTATTTACATTAGGCCAGAATCTATTATTGTTACTAAGTCAAATGTCCGACCAACTTAATTGTTATTGCCTCCATATATGTTACTTTAGATTCTGAAAGTAATGTACCATGAAAAAGAATTTATTTATTTATTTTGAACATCGAAGGAAACCCATAGCCACTATTTGTGTGTATGCATTGGACACAAATTAACCACATATAGAAAAGAGTGTAAATCGCATTAAAACAACTCCTCATGCAAAGGATTCGACTGAGAAATTGTTGGCAGGAATCGAACTTGTGCTCTTTTAATTTACTACGAAAATAATGTTTCACCTATTTCGCAATATTTATTTTGTTTTTGATGCAGTGTAGGGGTGGGGGTATATTTTTTTTTTTATTTTTTTTTTGAAAGTTACTGGCTCTATTACATTGTAGCATCTGTTCATATACTTTCTCAACCTACTAAAACACAAAGAACCAATAACGCCTCCACTGAGGCTTGAACTCATAATCTTCCAATTGGAAGTCCAACCCGGATACCATTAGACCACGTAGTCCTGGTAGGGGTGGGGGTATATATTGTACCTGAAATTATAAGAAATAATAACCACTTTATATGTTTTGATTGATACGTGGTACGAGGACAAAATAATTTATAAATCTGCACTCCATCATTGTCTGCCTTTATTTGCATGGCAGCAGAATTGAAACCATCAAACTAAACTAATAATAAATTAAAACAATATTTAATATCCATATAGCCATATAGGCCAATTTATATGGTCTGTTTTTTGTATTATATTGCATGCATGCGGTTGAACGGAAGCTTAAAGGACCGAAATTAATATTTTACTATTAAAATATGACACTATATACTAATATACTATGTAAATATAATAAAATGACATTAAGTTACACATTTGTTATTAGCTATACCTTTTAGTTTAATAATAAGCATTATGATAGTTGGTATCAGATCACGGAAGAATCACTTTTTTCATAAGCATTAACTCAACTCCAAAACACATGATTATTGTAATAATTAAGGAATAAAATATTGAATGGACACTGTAGGGAATATGAATATATCAAGGGCTGGGGTTTAATGGGGCATCTACATCTGGATTATTCTTGTGTGTGGTTGGTAAATGGTGATGATTTTAATGATCTTGTGACCAATAATTTATTATTCCCCTTTCTTAACATATTCAAACTATCCACACTCTAAATTTTATTTTATATATGAATTATTTTCGTTACATAATTATTGTTTTTTTAATATATATATAAATGACCCTGCACACATTGTCAAGAATCTCTATTACAAATTTTATTTTATTTTTATTTATTTCAATTTCATAAATCAAATTCTATATATTTTGATTAATTTTTCCGAGCTTGACTTGCATAATTATATATATGATTTTTTATAAATTAAATCAAACAAATTTATGTACAAATTGGATAGTGACTAATTATGATGTCTTACTCCGATCCTATGTCGCCGGTCTTTAATTTTTATTTTATTTTATCATTCCTAAAGGGATGAAACCACGTATTTTTGCAAATATTATCAGTGTTTTCTAATTTAGATTTGTCTAATTGTAAAGTTCTGTTAGTTTTTTTTTTTCACTCTTTGTATCAGGAAAAAAACAAACTCTCTAGGAGAAATAATGAAGAATTTTGTTTTGAGAGAATAAACATAGGCATAACAAATCCATTTTACTAGAAATTAAAGAAAGCTCTAAGACATGAACATATTGACATTATTCATCATGCATGAATTGAAACATTTGGTATCATACCAAAGTCATACAACTCATATTAACATGTGACAACACCTAACTAGTATAGAGATATATCATATATGAAAGTCGATAGTACTTCGGATCGGAGGTGGCTTCTGAGTCGGCAACAAACCAAACCACTTCTTTAACAACAACATCCTCTGTCTCGAGTATTTGTCATCCGGAGAGAAGCCAAGTGAGCTGCAAAAGTTAGTAAACACACTTCATAGTATATAACTTCATTCATCTACACTTATGCATTACCAAACAAAAACATACCATATATAGTTGCAAATTAATTGCTTTGGTGTAATAAGAGTACTTACCATTGACTCTAGTTTCTTCTCCTTCTTGTTTTTGATCTTCTTCGTTTGATCTTCATTGCTAGTCTGTATGTTTCTTCTTCAACAAACCTTACAATGAATTCTGGCTTTCCAGTTAGGAGCATGAGACTTCCCATGAATAATCCAAAAAGAATACCACAATCGTAACCCATTGCCACAACTTTTACAGTGCATCCGGTCAAAAAACTCGAATCATCTTCTTGGTGGAGATCCTTTGGTGTGGGAAGTTGCGGTGCTAGGCCATTCTCACAACCTCGTGACAAAGGTTTTCCTTTCAATCCATTATTTCCTTGGTATGAATTTGCTTCAAATGTATTGAATTGTCGACCTTCAGGTATGCACCCCATGAGCTTATTATGTGATAGATTCAACACTTCAAGTGTTGTAATACTTGCTAATTGCCCAGGGATTGCTCCACTAATTTTATTTGATGAAAGGTCTAAGGATTCAAGCATGGATAAATTTCCAAGAGATATGGGGATGTGCCCAACCAACATGTTATGTGACAAATTTAATTCGCGCAATGCAAGAAGATCTCCAATGCTATTTGGAATATGCCCTTCAAATTTATTGCTTGAGAGATCAATGGCACTATACAAGATAAATATTATACTTACAAGTTGACGCTCTTGCCCCTTCATTTCCACCAACATAGATTCTCCATAGTGATGTACAATACGCGCACTAATGGAACAACCCCTGTTGATAAGGTTGCAATAATAGGTGTCTTGGTATACGTCATGTGGTATATATTTATCAACACTTGCCATCGCTTTAAAATACTTGAAAAACCATGTAGGCAAATCCCCTGTAAATTCATTGTAGGACAGGTCAAAGACACGAAGTTGAGGAAACAAATATCCTTTGATCCTCGTACTTGTTATCGAACCGTTCAACTGGTTAAATCTCAAGCTAAGAACCTTTAATTTCGGAAGAGCTCCTAACCACATTGGAAATGTACCATTCAAGTTGTTGTGTCCAAGATCAAGAACTTCTAACACTTTACAATTGATTAAAGATTGCGGTAAATTTCCCTCCAATTGGTTATCACGCAAATTAAGTGTCAACAAAGAATTTGCCTTAAAAATTGTTGGAATTGAACCGTGAAATTGATTCTGGTGCAAGTCCAACACAACAAGATCTTCATTGGTGTTAACCAAACATTGGGGAATTAACCCAAGTAACAAATTGTTGGCTAAATCCAAAATTAGGAGAGAACCTAAATTGCAAATGGTTGGAGACAAATGCATTGATGTTAAATTTCCACCCTTAGGTAGAAGTGTTCCGGTGAGTCTATTACTAGAAACGATTAGAACTTGGAGGTATGAGAGGTTCCCAATTGTCTGAGGTATTAGACCGGAGAAATTGTTTTTTGACAGGTCTATTTCAATCAAATGTTTCAACTTTCCTATGCAAGGTGGAAGTGATCCGTTGAGATTGTTGGAGAAAAGCTCTAGAGTACTGAGGCGTGTGAGGTTTCCAATTGTGTGAGGTATTGGAGCATAGAGTTGGTTTTCTGACAACCATAAAATATCCAAATTTTGCAAGTTTCCAATTTGAGGTGGAAGCATTCCAAAAAGATTATTGGTGGAAAGATTTAGATGAATGAGACTTGTGAGGTTTCCAATTGTTTTAGGTATTGGACCAAAAAGACTATTTTTAGACAAATCTAAGAAAGTCAAACTCTGTAAGTTTCCTATTTCTGGTGGAATAGTGCCTGGAATCTTGTTCTCTTTCAAGGAAAGGTATACAAGATTTGTGAGCAAACCAATTTCTGATGGAATACTTCCATTGAAGGAATTTTTCTGAAGATCCAAAGAGTTTAGCTTGGTCCAATTGGAGAAAAAATTAGGTGAAATCTTATCAGAAAGAAAATTATCTGATAAATCAAACTCAGACAACATTGTCAAAGATGACAACGATGAAGGCAATACTCCAAAGAGTGAATTTGAACTCAAAACCAAGTAAGTGAGATTAGTGCAACCACCAAGCTCAGAAGGAATACTTGAATTCAAGTGGTAATTTTTCATAATATATAAGGTTTTAAGATTTTTGAGTTGGCCTATAGAATTTGGAATTTCTCCTTGAAAAGAATTGGACGACAAATCAAGATATTTGAGGTTGGACAGCTTGCCAATGTTAGGTGATAAAGGTCCTGAAAAGTCATTGAAAGAAAGATCAAGATACTCAAGTTTCTCCAAATGGATGAACAATGACTCAGGGATTGATCCATTCAATTTGTTTCCAGACAAATGAAGGTCTTTGAGGCTTGATAACTTGCCAATGCTATGTGATAAAGGTCCTGAAAAGTCATTGGAATAAAGATAGAGATACTCAAGTTTTTCCAAACTGGTGAACAATGACTCAGGGATTGATCCATTCAAATTGTTTGCAGACAAATCAAGATGTTTGAGGGTGGGCAACTTACCAATGTTAGGTGATAAAGGCCCTGAAAATTTATTGTCAAAAAGATCAAGATGTTCAAGCTCCTCTAAACGGGTGAACAATGACTCAGGAATTGATCCATTCAAATTGCTTTCAGACAAATCAAGATAAGTTAGGTTCCTACACCCTAATATGAAATCAGGGAACCTTGGTTCATATCCATTCCAGCTGGAGAAACTGAAATGTCTCAGCAAAGGAATACTCTTACCCATAGACCAATAATCTAGAGCTTCCAAGTCATTCGATCCAAGGTCCAGGAACCATACCTTTTGAAGATTTCCAATCTGATGAGGAACAACTCCACTGAAATTGTTGTAGTAAAGGGAGAGGTACTGAAGCTCCCTCAACTTCCCAATCTGTGGCGGTATGCTTCCATCAAACGTATTGTTGCTCAAGTCCAAGAAGATCAAGTTGGACAAATCACCGATGGCGGGAGGGATTGATCCATTGAAGTTGTTTCCACTGATGTTGAAACCAGTGAGGCTTGACAAATAAGTAAAATTGAGGTGGTAAAGAGTACCAGAGAGATGAGCATGAGGAAGATTGATCTCAGAAACAGTAGCTCCACCGCCATTGCAGACAATACCCGTCCAATTACACATGCTTCTTAGGTTGGATAGTGACCATGAATTGAGTGAAGAAGAAGAAGAAGACAACATCAACAGGCTGCTCTTCCATTTGAGAAGAGCTTCAGCTTCTGTTCTTGCTGATGCTGTCGTCTCCCATGCAAAGAAACAAGGCAGCACAAGAAAGATGATCAATGCTGTATAGTTGTAACGAAAATTTCTCATAGTTGAGTTTTTTGGAAGAATCAAATTACTCTGGTACATGGTATGATACCAATGAAGTATATATGCTCTTTTATAGACAAGATATATTGAAGTTATGGCCTGATTGAATTGATACATGAGAACGTTGGCATTTCCATTTTTGACAGCTCCGTATAAGATGGTGAAGAAAAGTGATACATTTCTATATACAACAAATAAAAGTCATTTCTAAGATGTTTTAATTTCTTCATACATTGCATTTGTCGTTGTGTTAGGAATAGACGACAAGAATTGATAGAAATTAAGGTTCATCGGATTGACTTTTTCTCTGCTAATGACTACCTCCCATCTATCAATTCCATTTGTACTGTATTAGGGAAGAAAAATCTGGTGAAACCAAAACTAAAGGCAATCTCTGAATGGGGTCCAATTGAATCTCAACTGAATTATTCACATTTTACAAGATGTGAATATCAGTACAAATGTACAATACATTAAAAAAAAATGTAATCCGATAGAGAACAAGTGCATATATACCAAAATTGAGGAGTTAACTCTAAAAATTAACAGTATAAATTCTCAAGAATAGATTATGAAATGCATGCATCCATATATATATATATATATATATATATATATATATATATATATATATATATATATATATATATATATATATATATATATATATATATATATATATGCTCTATTTTCTATTATGTAATATCCGTAATTAAGAAACAAGTTTTTTCATAAGTTTTTTTTTTTTTTTTTTTTTTTTTTTAATTAGACTCTTGAAACATGTTTCCACATTTCAATTAAACCATAAAATGCGTTTTTTTTTAAAGTTTTTTATTTTTTATTTTTTACATTACAGAAACTACCCAAATGTTTTTGAAAAGTTTCCTTGAGTTCTCAAGAGGGATACATACTTCAAATTAAATATGAAGACACTCTACCTTAACAACACGTTCAGTTCACGTAATGAATTTGGAGGGAATAGGAATGTTATTCCACAGGGAATGGAATATAATAGAAATTGTATTCTATTGTTTGGTTCGCTAAAGAAATAGACTTTAGTAATTGTATTCCAGTGTTTGATTGGTTAAAGAAATAGAAATGGAATAGGTTTTGAAGACATAAATACCTTTATACATAATAATAATAATAATAATAATAATAATAATAATAATAATAATAATAATAATAATAATAATAATAATAATAATAACAATGAATATGATTATGATATACTGAATGTTGGTTTTATATATATATATATATATATATATATATATATATATATATATATATATATATATATATATATATATATATATATATATATATATATATAGGCCGAAATGGATGAGTTAATTCGGTAGAGTTAGGCGCTAGGCGGTCGGTCGCTTTGGCAGGTTCCTAGGGAAAAAATCGCCACGGTCCAGAGGCGCCTAGCGCATAGGCGGTGTTTAGGCGGACACCTAGACCGATTTTTGCAATAGTGACCATAACTTTTAGGTATAAGAATATCCTATGTGGATAACACTTAATTAGCTTCAATGATTTAGGTTAGTGTACGTATCAAGATCAAACGTGTATTACTAAGTCAAAAGTTGCTGCCAATAGTTAAGATACCTATTACTGTAACAAAAGTTATAACTAGCAACATAAGCACAACTTTATTTCTTTAAACTTGTGTAGTAATCAACGTCATATTTCAATAACAAAATATTGGATTTGAACCTTTGTACGAGCGGCCAAAACTTTCTATTTGGATAACACTTCACTTGATGTGGGTTAGTGTACCTATCAAGAATAACGCTTATTACTAAGCCAAAAGTTACTATGATACAAAATTGTTAAGATGTTTATTACTGTACCAAAAGTTATAACTAACAATATAGGCCACAATCCAGGTCACTATTCCCACAGTGTCCCCGGGTGTTCAACATGTCCAGCTAGTTAGGCGCCCTCGGAGAACTCGGTCAGCGTCGGATCGTTCCAACGTTGCTGGGTTCTATCGTGAGGCGTCTGACGATGATAACGATTCTTCTGTCACTGGTAGAGTTGCTACCTTTGAGTCCGTGGGGCGTCATAGGGAGCTGGTGGGACATGGCTCGCCCCCTAGGACCACTCGGGTGCCCTTCGGTGGCAAGTACACTACATCTCAGGCACAGCAGGAGCAGAGTAATGCGGCCTTTGGCACGCCTATCTCTTCTCAATACCTCTCTTTCTGATGATGCGATTCCTAGTTTGGAACGTGCGGGGTATTGCCTCGTGAGCCTCTTTTCAAAGATTGCACTTGTTGCTTAAAAAACATAAGCCTTTTATTTTATGCCTCCTTGAGCCGTTTTGTGGTACTGATAGATTGGATACCTTTAGGCTGCGGCTTGCCTTTGACTTTTCTTTTGCAGGGGTTAATGATAAGTTGTGGCTTTTTGGAACTCTAACCTGGTTTTGAATTTTGAATCTGAATCTGATCAGTCTGTATCTGTTGCATGTTGTCATGCTACTATTCCTTCTGCTTTCTAGCTTTCTTTTGTGTATGCTAAAACTAGGGACCCCGTAAGGGTTCCTTTATGGGCTGAGTTGCTCGCAGTCTCAAATAGGATCCCTTCGGGCGTTCCCTGGTTTGTGGTGGGTGATTTTAACTGCTTGCTAAATGTGGATGAGAAAAAATGGGGTCTCCCTTATCCTCATAGGAAGACTACTGATTTTCGAGAGTGTGTTAGTACGTGTGATCTGATTGACTCTTCTGCCTACGGCTCCCCCTACACTTGGTGGAATGGGAGACGTAAGGACGCTGCTATTTGGATGCGCTTGGATCGGTTTCTTTACACCTCGGTGTGGGAATCGATATTCAGGACATCCGTTCAACATTTGTCTAGGACCACGTCTGACCACTGCCCATTACTTGTTACTTCAGAAGGTATAACTGCTCAACCCGTTCCAAAACATTTTATTTTTCTTAATGTATGGACCAAACATGAGGATTTTCAGCGGGTGGTTAGAGAAAGTTGGGAGGTTCCTGTTGAGGGAACCCCAATGTATGTCTTGGCTACTAAGCTTTCCAGGTTAAAAAAAAGGCCCTTGCTCCTTGGAGTAGGGAAACCTTTGGTAATATTTTTTCTAAGTTGCAGGAACTGGAAGATAAGGTACAGGTGCTAGAAGAGGTGCTGCAACAGAATCCTGATGATGATAGGGCACTCATTGACTATAAGGAGAGTGTGGCCCTCTTGCAAAGATAGGTTTCCATCGAGGAAGAATACTGGCAACAAAAGACTCACATGGTGGCCGTTTAGGAGGGTGATAAGAACTCCAAGTTCTTTCACTCGATGGTAAAAGAACGAAGGAGGAAACTCTATATTCATAAGGTAAAAGATGACACAGGACAATGGATTGAGGATAGACAGGGGATAACACAAAATGATGTCTCCTTTTTTGAGGGTTTATTCACTGCGGAGGCAGGTACTTTTGATTTGTCTAAACTTGATTGTGTGCCGCGTCTGGTTACTGATATTGATAATGCTATGCTTATTGCTATCCCCGAGGAAGATGAGATTAAAAATGTTGTGTTTGCCATGAATTCTGTTAGTGTCGCAGGCCCTGGCGGGTTTTCTGGGGCATTTTATAAATCTTGTTGGGAGATTGTTAAGGGGGATGTGGTTAATATAGTCAGGAGTTACTTCCTTGGTATGGAGTTCACCAGGTCTATTACTCACACCTCCATTGTGTTATTGCCCAAAAAAGCCAACCCGGAGACATTTGCTGATTATAGACCCATTAGCTTGTGCAACTTTAGTAGTGAAATTGTCACTAAGTTAATGGTAGTCAGGTTGGCTTCTGTTCTCCCGAGATTGTTGTCTCCTCACCAAAGTGGTTTTGTCTCGTGGCGGTCAATCACTGATAATATTTTGCTTGCCTCTGAGATGTGCCATGGTATAAAACTAGGGAATCAGGATGTAGTGCTGAAGCTAGACATGGCTAAGGCCTATGATCGGGTTTCCAGGTTTTTCCTTGTTTCTGTGATGCGTAGGATGGGATTTTCTGAAGTCTGGATTGACTTGGTCTATCGTGCGATCTCAAATGTGTGGTACTTTGTCATTGTCAATGGGGTCAAGGAGGGCTTCTTTACCTCGTCTCATGGGTTGAGGCAAGGAGACCCACTGTCCCCTAGTCTTTTTATCATTGTTGTAGAGATCCTTTCTATGTACATTGCTCAAGTCCATCTGGACGAGGGGGTCCCTAGGTTCTCTCAGCCTGCTGGTACCCCTCATATTCATCACTTAGCTTACGCTGACGATGTTATTATTTTTAGTACTGGGAGGCAGGGGGCAATCTGCAAAGTCATACGCGCTTTAAAAGATTATGAGGAGATTTTTGGCCAAATGGTCAGTTTCCCTAAGAGTGCTTTTTATATGCATCCTGACACTTCGGGTCGGGTTATTCGTAGGATTGGGGATATCACTAGATGCATTCATAGGTCCTTCCCTTTCACTTATCTTGGGTGTCCTATTTTTGTGGGGAGGAAGAAGTGTGTCTATTTTTCATCTGTGGTGGACATGGTTAAGGCCAAATGCCTTGGGTGGCAACGTCGATTGCTATCCAAGGGGGGGGAAAGCGGTTCTTATTACTTCTGTTTTGCAGACTATCCCTTTACATCTCTTTGCAGTTTGTCCTCCTTCTAAACAGGTTATCCGTGATCTTGAGCGGTGCTTCGCGAACTTTTTTTGGCGGCAGTCAGGAGGTGCACGCTACAATTGGGCGTCATGGAAAACGCTCTCCCTCCCTAAAAAGGAGGGTGGTATGGGCTTCCTTGACCTGGACTTATTGGTACGTGCATCGAGTGCAAAGCTTTGGTGGAATTTTTGCAAGGTGTATTCACTGTGGGGAAGTTTCATGACTGCTAAGTACTGCCGCCGAGCTACCCGGTGGCGAAATCAGTGCAAAGTTCTGACTCACCCACTTGGAAGCGGATGCTCGGCGTCAAGAATGAGGTGGAGACAGTCTTGGGATGGCGCCTAACTCACGGCGATGTTAACCTTTTGTGGGATAACTGGCCTAGACTTGGCCCGCTAGGACGCCTTTACCCCTTCCCGAGGGTTGAGTACTCTGGTGATTTGCTGTCTGACTTCATCTAGGACGGGGAATTGGACTTGTCGGCCTATGATGACTTTCTGCCGGCTGGGTTGGAGGCTGACATGTTCCGGTTGGGTCAAAGAGTGGCTGACATCCCTATTTGGCGGGTAGCTACAGACGGTTTGTTTTCTTTCTCTTTTACAAAATCATTATTAAGACCTGAACCGGTGAATTCTGATTCTCTTTTGAGGGCATGTTAGCATAAGCGCCTGCCCTTTAAGGTGTCATTTCTCGTTTGGCATGTATTACGGGGCTGTTTGCCCACTGATGATGCTATAGCTAGATTTGGGCACCTTATTGTTTCCAGATGCTGGTGATGCAGTAACCCTGCTAGGGAGACCATTGATCACATCTTTTATGCGGGGGACACTGCCTGGGCTGTATGGGGATTTTTTATGGGATCACTTGGCTTGTGATTCAGTCATCGGGGTCTACGGACGCTGTTGACTAGGTGGAAGCGGGTGGTTTCACATAATCGTCTTGTTGTTTTTGTTATTTGCAGTTTGCCTTATCTCATCCTTTGGGAGTTATGGAAACATAGGGATGCATGCTTGCATGGCAGAGGACCTCCGAGTGTGCCTCAAGTGGTGTATGGCGTTGCCAAAGGGGTGGCTGAGTGTCTCTTTAGGCGTTGGCCGCGGGAACACATTCTACCACCAAACTGGTCTGTCATTCTGTCCTATATAGATTCCGCTGCCCCGCGATGCGTGGTTCGTGCTATTAGATGGGATCCCCCTCTTGATGGCTCTATAAAGCTTAATCTCTCATACTCGGAGTCTGTGGGGGAGACTGCTGCCTTGGTACGTAATTTGGGGGGGGGGGGGGGGGGGAGGGGGTTCTGCTACGACCTGGCCATTTCGGTAGTCGGCGGGTTTCGGGATTTTTTTCATGTTATGCACCGCTGTCTTGAATGGTGTTTAGCCGAGGGTTTTAGGTCCCTGGTCCTAGAGTCTTTTTTGCCTGCGCTTAAGAGCTATGTTGATCCCTCCACTCCTAGTCCATGGGTTTTTGACTCTGAAGTGTCACTGCTTCGGTTTCTTTGTTCCTGTGCATCTGTTTCTATTCTTCAGTGTTTGCCGCAGGGTAATCTCCATGTGGCTGCATTGGCAAATTGGGTTGGGGATAAGGATGGGGAGTTTATTTTTCTTAATTTGTTTGACTTACCGCCGAGGGTGCGTGCTTTGCTTGTTCATGATGATGTCCCCTCGGTGTTTTTTGAGGATTATGACCCACCTTGAATTGAGGCTCCAGTTTTCTTGATGTATTATGTTTTATTGAAATATGAAAAAAGGGAAAAAGAAAAGAATGAGAAAATGAAAAGGAAAGAAAAAAGAAAAAGAAAATGAAAGAATTATAAAAGATGTGAGAAAAGAAAAAGGAAAGAAAAGGAAAATGAAAGAAGACAAAAGAAAAGAAGAGAGAGAAGGAAAAGTAATCTGCCAGGAGGCAATGATGGCTTGGCGTTTGTCAGGACTAGCCTCAACAACGCAGGTGTCAGCGGTACAAGAGGCACCCTAGTCCGGGCTGAACGGTGGTTGGGCAGGATTTATCAAATCCGTTGACCTAGTCAGGCTTGCTGCTGGCCAATAGTAGCTGAGTCCCTTCTAGGGCGGGTCATATATGATGGGGGTTGCCTTGTTGTTCGTGTCTGCCTGTTATTTCCTTATACACTGCCTATTGAAACATGATTATGAGTTGTATTGGTTTAGGAAATGTGGCGTTGCTTGTTCTGTCACGTTTTTATTTTGCAGGTCTTTCCTTGGCTTCTGAGGTATTGCTGGTCTTAAGCTTGTTTGGTTTTGCCCTTGTGGGTTTCTTTAAATAGACTACGCCTCAACGTTGGTGCCAGCGGTAAGAAATTGCATCCTAGCCCGGGCTGAACGGTGGCCGAGTAGAGGTTTATCAAATCCGTTAGCGGTTTGTCCAGGCTTGCTGCTAGCCCATAGTAGCTAATCCCGTTAGGGTTCTGGTTACTACGATATTGGTGCGGCTGGCCTATATGTGGCCTGTGTGCCATTTATTATTTTTGAGCCTGCGTGCCTCCTTTGTGGTTTGTTTGCCTTGTGCTGATAGTTGGGCAGCTGTTGTTGTGTATTTCTGTCCTTGTGAGATAGCCCTGCAGCAGGTTATGCTACCGGATATCTTACAAAATGGGCTAGCATTCTTGGAGGTTCGAAGCGTGGGCGTTGAGCGTTGCGGCCGTTGGCACTGTTGCATTGTTGCATTGTGGTGCAGAGTCGCAGCATTGCAACTTTGTGGTGGTGCGGCATGATGGCGCACTAGTACATGGTGGCACGCAGGTGCAGCTTTTCTCCTATAAACAGTCGTTATGCTACTGGTTTTTGCGAAAATTGCGCCTCCATTTCAGCACCCCTATTATTTATTTATTTTTCTTCATTTATTATTCCTTTGGTCTGGCCTACTAGTTGGGCTTGGGTCCTTTATTTTCTTCTTCCATTCTTAAGGCCTGGCCTGTTAGGGCTTGAGTCCATCCTTTATTTTAGTTTCTTTATATTAGTATAGGCTCAATCTCAAGGGCTGAGTATGTGTTATTGTCACTTTTGGACCATCAGTTGTAAGACATTTTAATTCCTTAATTTGCTTAATAAATTTTTTTTTTTCAAAAAAAAAAAAAACAATATAGGCAGAATTTTATTTATTTAAACTTGTGTAATAACCAAGGTCATATTTCAATTGATAAATTTCTATGCTAGAAAGTTGTAATGAAACCAAAATTAAAGGCAAAATAGTCAAGAAAAGGAAAGGTGAGGAATTTGCGGAGCCTTTAGTGTGAAGTCAACCATTTCACATTATCAGTCAATTAAGATCATCATTCACTGTATGACTAGAAATTCACAATTTTTCATCCAATTTCTATTCAATATAATAATATATTTTTTAAAGGCCAGAATCTTAGAGAGATGGTATTTTTTTTTTTCAAATTATTGGCAAAAATTAAAATAGATGCTATTTATAATCATTTGGAGTCCATGAATTGACTGGCTAAAATTCATCGCCATTGCCAACAATGCCCCTCCAATTACAAATGTTTCTTAAGTTGGATACTGACCATGAATTGAGTGAAGAAGAAGAAGACAACATTAATAAGCTGCACTTCCATTTGAGAAGAGCTTCAGCTTCTGTTCTGGATGATGTTGTCGTCTCTGTCTGTTAAGGTTTTTTTCTTTCTTTTCTTTTTTCTGATTTGTGGGGCTTTGTTGCTCCTAGACTTTTGGCTACTCAATAAAACTCTTTTTTTGAGCAAAAAAAAAAAAAAAAAAAAGAGTGTTATATGGTTGCAACGAAAATTCCCCTGCCCATACTTGAAATTTTTTGAAGAACAAAATTACTCTGGTACATGGTATGATACCCAAGAAATTTCCCATACTTGAGTTTATAGACAAGTTGATATATTGAAGTGATGGCCCGATTGATCGATACATGACAACGATGGTATTTCCATTTTCATAGTTCCATATAAGATAGTGAAGAAAAGTGCTACATTTCTACTAATACAACAAATAAAAGTCTGTCATTTCTACAATGTTTTCGTCATACACTGTACTGCATTTGTCGTTGTGATAAGAATTAATTTGAAAATTTGGTTAGGAAGAGACAAGAATTTATAGAAATTAATGTTCCTCGAATTGGATGCCATCGAAGTATAGACACATCTACACTACATATCATCACTTGTATTATTCATATTAAAGGTCCCACTGAAAGCATGCAAATTGTTCAAGTTATAATCTATTGATAGAAATTAAAGTAATAATCTTTTCCCCAATAGCCAAAATAAATCCATTTTAGAAAGAAAGCTCTAAACACTAACAAAGACATTGTTCATCATGCCTGAATTGAACATTCATAATCATACCAAAATCATATATCTCATATTAACATATATGTGTCACAACACCAAGCTAGAGATCTGAAATCAATCAGTACTTGAGATGTAGCTTCCGAGCCAACAACAAAGCAGAGCACATCTTCAACATCACTCTCTGTCTTGAGTATTATATTTGTCATGGGGAGAGAAGCGAGCTGCAAAAATTAGTAAACACGTCACAGTATTCTCCTTCATGCATCTACACTTATGCATTACCAAATAAAAACATACCATATATAGTTGTAAATTGCTTTGGTGTAATAAGATTACTTACCATTGACATGCAAAACTAGTTTCTTCTTCTTCTTATCTTTGATCTTCTTCTTTTGACCTTCATTGCTAGTTTGTATGCTTCTTCTTCAACAAACTTTGTATTGAATTCTGGCTTTCCAGTTAGGAGCATGAGACTTCCCATGAATAATCCAAAAAGAATACCACAACCGTACCCTATTGCCACAACTTTTACCGTGAATCCGCTCAAAAAACTAGAATCATCTTCATAGTGGAGATCCTTTGGTGTAGGAAGTTTCGGTCTCATGTCATTCTCACAACCTCGTGACAAAGGGTTTCCTTTCAATCCATCATTCCCTTGATATGAATTTGCTTCAAATGTATTGAATTGTTTGCCTTGAGGTATGCATCCCACAAGTTTATTATGTGAGAGATTCAACACTTCAAGAGATGAAATACTCCCTAATTGCCCAGGGATTGGTCCGCCAATTTGATTTGAAGAAAGGTCTAAGGATTCAAGCACAGATAAATTTCCAAGAGACGCTGGGATGAAGCCAGTGAACATATTATGTGATAGATTTAACTCACGTAGTGCAAGAAGATCTCTGATGCTATTTGGAATATGGCCTTCAAATTTATTGCATGAGAGATCAATAGCACTGTACAAAATGAATATTGTACTTACAAGCTGACGCTCTTGCCCCTTTATTTCAACCACCATAGAATCTCCATAGTGATATATAATACGCTCATTATTTGAACAACCACTATGGAAAAGGCTACAATTAAAGTGGTCTTGGTATATGTCTTTTGGTATTCTATAATTATCAACACTTGTCATGGCACTAAAATCCTTGAAAAACCATATGGGCAAATCCCCAGAAATTCATTGTAAGAGAGATCGAAGACACGAAGTTGAGGAAATAAATACCCTTTCATCTTCGTATTTGTTATGAAACCGTTCAATCGGTTAAATCTCAAGCTAAGAACCTTTAGTTCCGAAAGAGCTCCTAACCACATTGGAAATGTACCATTCAAGTTATTGTGTCCAAGATCAAGAACTTCCAACTTTTTACAATTGATTAAAGATTGCGGTACTATTCCCTCTAACTGATTCTCACGCAAATTAAGTCTCAACAAAGAGTTTGTCTTAAAAATCGTTGGAATTGATCCGTAAAATTGATTCTGGTGCAAGTCCAACACAATGAGATATTTATTGGTGTTTACCAAACATTGAGGAATTAACCCAGTTAGCAGATTGTTGGCTAACTCCAAAATTTGGAGAGAACCTAAACTGCAAATGGTTGAAGACATTGATGTTAGATTTCCACTACTCTTGGGCGGTTGAAGTGTTCCTGTGAGTCTATTAGTGGAAATGATTAGAAATTGGTGGTATGAGAGGTTTCCAATTGTCTGAGGTATTGGACCAGAGAAATTGTTTTTTGACAGGTCTAATTGAATCAAATACTGCAACTTTCCTATCCAAGTTGGAAGTGTTCCGTACAAATTGTTGGTGGAAAGCTCTAGAACAGAGAGGCTTGTGAGGTTTCCAATTGTGTGAGGTATTGAACCATAGAGTTGGTTTTTTGACAATAGAACATCCAACTTTTGCAAGTTTTCAATATGAGGTGGAAGCATTCCAGCGAGATTATTGGTGGAAAGATTTAGACTAACTAGACTTGTGAGATTTCCAATTGTTTGAGGTATTAGACCAAAAAGACTATTTCCAGACAAATCTAAGAAAGTCAAATTCTGCAAGTTTCCTATTTGAGGTGGAATAGTGCTTGAGATCTTGTTATCTTTCAAGGAAAGGTACTCAAGATTGGTTAGCAAGCCAATTTCTGATGGAATACTCCCGTTGAATGAATTGTTCTCAAGGTTCAAAAATGTTAGCTTGGTCCAATTGGAGAAAAAAATTGGTGAAATATTACCAGAAAGAAGATTTTTGAGTTGCCTATAGAAGATGAGATTTCTCCCTGAAAAGAATTGTACGACAAGTTAAGTTCATTGAGGTTTGACAACTTGCTAATGTTAGGTGATAGAGGCTCAGAAAATTCATTACGAGAAAGATCAAGATGCTCAAGTTTCTTCTGACATATCTAAGTAATTTAAATTCTGCAAGTTTCCTATTTGAGGTGGAATGGTTTCGTAAATTTATTGCTACCCAAGTTAAGGTCTTGAAGGCTAGTGAGGAAACTAATTTCAAATGGAATGCTCCCACTAAAAGAATTGCCCTCAAGATATAATTGCGTTAGCTTGGTCCAATTGGAGAAAGAAATGGGTGAAAAATTACCAGAAAAAAAAAATCTCTCCTAAATTCAGCATATCCAACTTGGTCAAAGATGACAGTGATGAAAGCAATACTCCAAAGAGTGAATTGAAACCCAGATCCAAGTGAATGAGATTTGTGCAACGACCAAGCTCAGAAGGAATACTTGAATTCAATTCATTAACCGAAATATATAAGAACTAAAGATTTTTTAGTTGGTCTATAGAAGATGGAATTTCTCCGTGAAAAGAATTGTACACCAAGTCAAGTTTGTTGAGGTTGGACAACTTGCTAATGTTAAGTGATAAAGGCCCTGAAAATTTATTGTAAGCAAGAACAAGATATTCAAGCTTCTCCAAATGGGTAAATAATGGCAAAGTTAGTGCGGTACATGTGATGATACCCAGCCAAGAAATATGCTCTATTTTCTTTTATATTCCTTCATATATCCTCTGCTTGCTACTGCCCAATATGGAGTTGTAACACTTTGGCTCCCACTCCCTCTCCACGCCATCTCATGCTTATGTACGTAATTAATATCCATAATTAACAAACAAGTTTTCTCATATGATTTTTTTTATATTATATAATTAGACTCTTGAAACATGTTACAATATAATAGAGTCAGTATCATTCTAAAAAAAAAAAAAAAAGACTCTTGAAACATGTTTCCACATTTCGATTAGACGATCATAAAATGCGTTTCTTTTCTAAGAATTTTTTTTTTTTTTTTTTATGTTTTACATTTCAGAAACTACCCAAATGTTTTTGAAGAGTTTCCTTAAGTTCTCAAGAGAGATATATACTTCAACTATTAAAACACTCTACCTTAAGAGTTTCTGTATACCATAACTTTTAGGTAGAAGAATATCCTATGTGGATAACACTTCACTGATTTAGGTTAGTGTCACAAGATCAAACGTTTATTACAAAGTCAATTTGTTATGACACCAATTGTCAAGATGTTTATTAGTGCATCAAAAGTTATAACTAGCAGCATAAGCACAACTTTATTTCTTTAAATTTGCATTGTGTAATAATCAACGTCATATTTCAATAACAAAATACTGGATTTGACCCTCTATACCTCATGTACGAACGGCCAAAACTTGCTATGTGGATAACACTTCACTTGATGTGGGTTAGTGTACCTATCAAAGAATGAAATGGGAAAAAAAAATTAAATTTGTTGACAAAAATAGGAAGCTTTTGATTCGTTTTGAAAGATGAACAATATTAGGAAAAGAACATTTGGGAGCTCGGACATACGTTTCAGAGACTTGAAAGCCGCCAGAAAACTTACTTTCGCCAGAAAATTCCCGTCTTCCGCACCTGCAAAGTGCAAATCAAAAAAAGAACTAACACATCGATCAATTATTCCACCCAAGTTCCTACCCGAACAGGCTAGCTACGATATTGATCCATATAATTATTTGTCTCAGATCAATTGTATTCAAACATAGACGTAATTCCCACTTGCGTCTCTGCTGGCCGGTTGTCGGTGGTGAGAGACGCAAGTGTGAAATGCGTTTCTAGTATTATAGGAGAAACGCATTTCCTACTTACGTCTGACCAGGATGTATATTCAGCCAAGAGACGCAAGTGGGACTTGCCTTTCATGTATAATACATCAGAGACATGTCTCACTTGCGTCTGTGATTAATATCGGAGAAAAATAATAATAATAATAATATCAAATGCATGTACCACATGCGTTTCTGACCAGAAAGGCATGTCCCAAATGCTCTTTTTCTAATATTGTCCATCTTTCAAAAGCTTCCCATTTTTGTCAACAAATTAGATTTCTTTCCCATTTCAGTCTTTGACGCATATTATTAAGCCAAACGTTGCTATACCAATTGTCAAGATATGTTTAATTTTTTGTTTTTTTTTTTTTTTTTCAATCAGGCAACAAAGACTGGCAAGGAAAAATCTTTGCTAATGACTGCCTCCCATCCATCAATTCCATTTGTCTAAAGCAGAATGCAATTAATAGCATCTGTATTCTATTGGGGAAGAAAAATCTGATGAAACCAAATTAAAACTAAAGACAATCTCCTATATGGGTTTATTAAATCTCGAATGAATTACTCTTATTTCACAAGATGTGAATATCAATACAATACATTAAAAAAAAAAAAAAAAAAAAAAAGTGCAATTTGATAGAGAACAAGTGCACAACAACATCAAAGATTTAACTCTAAAAATTGGCAATGTGAATTCTCAAGAATGGATGATGAAATGCATGCATGCTCTATTTTATATTCCTTCATCCTCAACTTGCTACTACGAATTGTAAGCACTCTGCCTTTCTCACAACCAAAAAGAATACCATAATCATACCCTATCGCCACAACTTTTACGGTGAATATGATCAAAATACTGGTGTAACACTCCCAAATCGATCTCTAATACGGGAAATTGATAAATAAAGGGAAATAAAGAAATAATATTCAGTTTTTCACAAGAGTTTAAGTGCAGAAGCTGAAACAACGATAAGACTAAGGAGTGTCACGCCACGCTTGGGTCAATTCTAAAACCCAAATTAAACACTAAGGCAACTAACGAAAAGTTCACAACCAAATCCAACATAAGTCTAAAGTCATTACATGAAATCTCAAAACATAAGTTAACTACAGAAATTACTTAAAGTTCAATCTAAGGTAAAGGAATAGGAAACACCAACAGAACTAAGTAGCGCGCTCTCGACATCTCTACTTCATACCTGAAAATAAAGTTAAAACATTAGCAAAGGGTGCTAAGTAAATCCCCACTCCACCACGTAAAATTACGTACATATATACTTTTAAAACAGTTGATAGGCAAAATAGGTTTTGGAACATGAATACCACTCACACCAGCTAACATACTCTATAGGAAGGTTTTCAAAATACTTGTATGCACTGGAATTACAATTTGAGTAAAATGAACTCACACCCATTATCCATTTTGAAACAAGACTCTGTTGGTACCGTTGGTAGAAAAACAAATAATAATCAAATAAAATTGACTATTATTTTTCTAGAAAGAAGGGAAGAAAAGATGAAGAAATTTGGCTAGTGTTTGGTGTTGGGTTTTTGCAAGAGTCGAGTGATCACTCTTTCCTTAAAACCTTATTTGTCACCTCCCGTAGATGCTAGGAGCGTTGTGGCCTAGGCTTCCCAGGATAAAACTTGCTATGATCCAATGTTTGAGCATTCAAACAAAGGATCCGGCGAGCAAGACAATGGCTATGAACACAGTATAGCTAAAGAAAGAGTAGAAGCAGAGATTTTTGAAGCTGGAAAAGTATACTTTCGTGCTGTGTAAAGCTGTGTGTAAAACTCTACTGCCTCTACCCTCTCTTATATAGGGTTGAAGGAGCCAATAGCCTTTATTATGGCAATTAAAAATGACATTAAAGCTGCCCTCCAACAGCTATAACAGCAGGCCACTACCTGGGAATTGAATTCAGAATTCAAAATTGGAATTAATAGACAATTAATTCCGTAACAGATGAATTCAATCCCCTCAACGGTCAGAACTTTCGGGTTCCTGATCGTTAGCGTACAGGGTTCGGTCTCAACTTTCGACCTCATCCAGTTTCGGCCGGCCCGAACCAAGTGGCTATACCAGTTGGAAAATGATACCAAAGTTTGGCATAACTTAGCCCGCAAATTTCCGGACGACATTCGTGCCCCCAGGTGCCGGCGCACACGAGCTCGGGCTTGTATCAAGCCTTTTTCAATCTCTGTTAGTTGGAATTTGATTTGCACCCCCCCCCCCCCCCCCGCGCGAGAGAGCCTCTATGCTATACAATTCTACAAGCTTCAAAAGAGCTCTTGTATATAAGGGGGGAAAATCTTCATTCCAAAGCAATGTGGGACAAAAGCACACTTTTTCCCTTCATTTTCCAACTCAAATGGGTCTACTTTGAGAATCAATATCTCATTCACCCATTATCCGTTTTGAGCGTACAATATATCGATCTCTTCGTCTCACTACGAAGAATCCGAATCCACTTTGACCCGACCCAAATCGGAAGTGGACCCCACTGATAATTGTACCACAAAATAGCCACTTAACATGCCATTTTATGCCATTTTAAGCTATTTTTTCCAACAATCCCCCACATGAATGAAAAATTGATTTTCGGGGTATTTTGAAATCGGAAACAACTGTGTTCAAATGGTCGATCCCTGCATAGGATAGGTAGGGAGTCACTATACCCTTTGAACCTTCCCTCGTAAAGACATGTTTATTCTACTGGCTGTACGGTAGAACGCGATGTCTTTGAACCGACTGCCGTTTGTGTAGACGATGACATATCTCACACAGGAATCTCCCAACCATGCTCTTGCTCTCATGAGTGTGCCCGTTTTGGTCGTGGGTCACCGTTCCTGGTTCTGCGAGAGTTTCTAAAGAATTGTGCCCAACAATTCTCCTTTGAAGCGACCCTCACTTCTCTCTAACATAGGTGATTCTTTCTCGAGTATCCCGCATACTCAAGAATCATTAAAGCATTAATATGCTAGCCTCTTGCAGGAGTCACTGTTTTAACGAGGAGTGGTAGGGAGTCCGAGACCCCCACAGTGACGCGCTCCGTTCCATAATTTAGTTGTCCCATTGAACCTAGGTGCCAGCTAGGTTGGGTATCCACTATAGAACTTTTTAGTCCAAGGGCAGTAGACCCATTCCTCGTGTCAACTTCTCCACAACTTCTCTTCCTAACCCTTTGGTCAGCGGATCCGCTATATTGTCTTTTGACTTTACGTAGTCAATCGAGACAACACCAGTTGTGAGCAGTTGTCTAATGGTATTATGTCTACGACGCACATGTCTAGACTTACCATTATACATATGACTCTGTACTCTCCCAATTGTGGCCTGACTATCGCAATGCACACATATTGGAGGTACCGGTCTTTCCCAATTAGGAATATCCTCTATAAAATGGCGTAGCCATTCAGCCTCTTCACAACCTTTGTCCAAGGCTATCAGCTCAGATTCCATCGTGGATCTAGCTATCACAGTTTGCTTAGAGGATTTCCATGCAACGGCTGCACCGGCTAGTGTAAACACGTAGCCACTCGTGGACTTAGAGTCCTTAATATCGGATATCCAATTCGCGTCGCTATACCCTTCAAGTACGGCAGGATATCTCCCATAGTGCAGTCCAAGATCACGAGTATACCTCAAGTATCTCATAACCTTTACTATTGCCTTCCAGTGCATGGCACCGGGGTTACTCGTATATCTACTGAGTTTACTAACCGCATAGGCAATATCCGGCCTAGTACAGCTCATAAGATACATCAAACTACCAATAACCTGAGCATATTCCACTTGTGAAATACCTTCTCCGTGGTTCTTGGTTAGATGAATGTTTGTATCAAATGGTGTCCTAGCCACTTGACTATCATCCTTGTTAAATTTCTCAAGGATTTTGTCAATATAATGTGATTGGCTCAACACGAGACCATCAGGTCTTCTAATGATTCTAATCCCGAGGATTAAATCAGCCAAACCCATATCCTTCATGTCAAATCTTGCATTTAACATGTTTTTGGTAGACTTGATCATCCGATCATTACTACCAACGATGAGAATATCATCGACATATAAACAAAGGATGACATAGCCGTCTATCGTTTCCTTAACGTAGACGCATTTGTCACTTTCGTTTATTTTAAACCCATTAGTTAACATCGCGTGGTCAAACTTCACGTGCCACTGCTTAGGCGCTTGTTTCAAACCATATAGCGATTTAACCAACTTGCACACTTTCCTTTCTTGGCCCGGAACCACGAACCCTTCGGGTTGTTCCATATAGATTTCCTCATCTAATTCGCCGTTTAGGAAAGCGGTTTTCACATCCATTTGATGAACTTCCAAGTTCCTCAACGCAGCTATGGCAAGTATCATCCTAATGGAGTTTATTCTCGTCACGGGAGAATACGTGTCGAAGTAATCGAGGCCTTCGCGTTGCCTGTAACCCTTGATTACAAGCCTAGCCTTATACTTCTCGATGGAACCGTCCGGTTTCATCTTCCTTTTAAAGACCCACTTAGATCCTAAGGGTTTACTACCCGGAGGAAGATCAACAAGTTCCCAAGTGTGATTCTGTAGAATAGAATCCACTTCACTTTTTATAGCCTCTTTCCACATTGGTCCTTCCGTAGAAGTCACGGCTTCTACATACGTTCGAGGCTCGTTCTCTATCAAACAAGATAGAAAATCGGGTTCATTTTCTAATAAACAAGTTAGAGTACCCGAATCGTACTCTAACAGATAAGTTAGAAAATCAGGACCGAATGATTTTCCAACTCTCGCCCGCTTACTGCGTCTCAGCTCGAGCTCGGGTTCTCTCTCGGATTCCCCACTATCATTATCCATAGTTTCGTCAAACGTTCGTTTTGACGTACTTGGTCCCTCATTGGACCTATAAGGAAATATGTTTTCGAAAAAATATGCATTCCTTGATTCTATTATCGTGTTCTCGTGTACATCCGGATTATTGGACTCGTGTACTAAGAACCGATAAGCACTACTATTATGTGCATACCCAATAAAGATACAGTCCACCGTCTTAGGACCTATCTTTACTTTCTTAGGTGTTGGCACCAAAACTTTGGCAAGACACCCCCACACTTTCAGGTACTGGTAGGAAGGTTTCCTACCGTTCCACAGCTCATAAGGAGTCTTATCGAGCTTCTTTCGGGGTACCTTATTCAAAAGGTAATTACTTGTCAAAATCGCCTCACCCCAAGCATCTTGAGGTAGGCCCGAACTTATAAGCATCGCATTCATCATATCTTTCAATGTACGATTCTTTCGTTCGGCAACACCGTTCGATTGAGGTGAGTAAGGTGCAGTACGCTCGTGTATTATACCTACACTCGCACAGAAGTCACCAATAGGTGCTTCGTACTCACCACCTCTATCGCTTCTAACCTTCTTAATTCTCCGATTAAGTTGGTTTTCCACTTCATTCTTATAAAGAACGAATTTATCAACGGCTTCGTCTTTGCTCTTAAGCAAATACACATAGCAGTATCGTGTGCTATCGTCGATAAATGTGATAAAATACTTATTACCACCTCTCGTTTGTATCGATCTAAAATCGCACAAATCACTATGGATTAATTCTAGTGGTTCAGTTTCCCTTTCAACCGACTTGAAAGGTACTTTCGTTAGTTTTGCCTCAACACAAATTTCACACTTGTTATTTGTGTCAATTTGAAAGTTAGGAATATGGTCCATGCTAATTAATCTACGCATAGAATTAAAATTAACATGACCTAGTCTACCATGCCATAAATTGGAAGACTCAAGCAAGTAAACAGAATTAACTTTGCTTTTATTGATAACAGGAATTACACTGAGCTTAAACAGCCCATCAGTTACATATCCTTTACCAACAAACATTCCTAACTTGGACAAAACTACTTTGTCTGACTCGAACACCATGCGAAAGCCATGCTTGTTCAACAGAGAGCCAGACACAAGATTCTTCCTCAGCTCAGGAACATACAGCACGTTGTTCAACGTTAGTTCCTTCCCGGAAGTCATCTTCAGAACCACCTTGCCCATGCCTTCCACAGCAGACTGAGCCGAGTTTCCCATCCACACCTTCTCACCTTCAACGGTCTCAAAGGTGTTGAACATTTCTCGGTTGCAACACAAGTGCCTGGTTGCACCGGTATCAATGAACCATTCACGAGGGTTTGAGCCCACGAGGTTCACCTCGGTCACCATAGCCGAAAGGCTAATCTCGACCTCTTTCTGATTGCTATCTCCAACAACATTGGCTTCAGAACTCTTGTTCTTCTTCCTTGGAGCCTTGCATTCAGATGCTCTGTGGCCACGCTTGCCACAATTGTAGCATTCACCAGGAAACTTGTTCTTGGTAATGCCACCTTTCGGACCTAGCTTTCGCTTGTCCTTCTTGTTCCTCCTGGAGTTCTTACCGTGCTCCACAACGTTGGCCTTAGCACCAACAACGATAGGAGCCTTCCTATCATTCGTCCTGTTCCCTTCCTCAATCCTGAGTCGCTGGATCAGGTCCTCCAGATTCATCTCCTTTCGCTTATGCTTAAGGTAGTTCTTGAAGTCCTTCCAACCTGGAGGCAACAAATGGATCACAGATCCCACTTGGAAGGCTTCACTTAGCACCATGCCTTCGTCACGGATCTCGTCAAAGATTAATTGCAAATCTTCTACCTGACTTAGCACGGTCTTTGAATCAACCATTTTGAAGTCGAGGAATCGGCCAACTACAAATTTCTTTGAGCCGGCATCCTCACTTCGGTATTTATGATCCAAAGCTTCCCACAACGCTTTTGATGTGCTTATCTTTCGATATACATCATATAGCGTGTCACACAATCCATTCAGGATGTAGTTTCGGCAAAGGAAGTCCGAATCCTTCCAATAGCCAACTGCCATCACGGATTGTGCATCTTGTTCCTTCAACTCAGGAACACTCTCGGACAAGAACCTTGCCAGGCCGAGAGTTGCTAGGTAGAACAACATTTTCTGTTGCCACCTCTTGAAGTTCGAACCAACACCGGTGAACTTCTCCGGCTTTTCAGCCGAACCACTCGGTACCGAAGGTACCCGAGACATGGGAATA